CGACGGCGCCGAGAGTTGGGCCACCCCCCCCGGTTCGAAACGCGCCGCTGAATGTTCCCAAGGCAAGCGCCCGTGAAACGCGCTCTCAGGGAGCTCCACCGAAGGCCCCAGTGATACTCTGAAACCTTTTAAAAAGCGGCGTATGGGCAAGCCCGAACGTTTTTTTTTTTCTTTTTTTTTTTTTTGTTTTTTTTTTTTTTTTTTTTTTTTTTTTTTTTTTTTTTTTTTTTTTTTTTTTTTTTTTTTTTTTTTTTTTTTTTTCTTTTTTTTTTTTTTTTTTTTTTTTTTTTTTTTTTAAAAAAGCGCGTTTACTCTGGCGTATGGGCAAGCCCGAACGATACCTCGACGACCGGTAAAAACAAAGCTGACGAGGAAACGCAATTGTCGCGAACGGATTATGTAATGAGCAACGCGCTTGCCTTCGCGAGAGCCTCCGAGAGCGCCTGGGTTCGCCGCGTTTGCCGGGGAGCCGTGATTCTGCGGCCGACACATGCGCCCGGCTGGCGCCCGAGCAGGGTCGGATATTTCGGATCCACGCGCGGTGCTAGAGAAAACATGTGTTTCACATTTCCTTTCTTAGGAAATGCGCCATTTCTGCGCGTAGGGCGACGAGGGAGCTCCCAAACGCCCCTGGACGCTCGCGGGCGCTTCCAGGCGCTCCCAGGCGCTCCCAGCCGTTCCCAAGCGCTCACAGCGTTTCGTGGGCGTTCCCAGGCGCTCACTGGCGCTCCCTGGCGCTCCCAGGCGCTCCCAGGCACTCCCGGGCGCTTCCAAGCGCTCACGAGACGGTTCAAGGCGCTCCCCGGCGCTCGGCTGGCGGCGTTCGGGCGGGTTCGGATATTTCTGATCCACGCGCTGCGCCTGAAAAAGGCAGTGCTTTCACACGTCCTTCTTTGGGTATTTGCCGTATCCGCGCACGACAGCCGGACCCGTGGGAGTTCCCAGGCACTCCTGGGCTGCTCTCGGGCGCTTCCACGCGGTCCCAGGTGCTCGCGGGCATTATCAAGCGTCGCTATAGGCGCTCCCGAGCGCTTCCCAGGCGCTCCCAGGCGCTCCCGGGCTTTCGCGGGCGCTTCCAAGCTTCAACGACAAGTCCTTGACATGTTTATTCTTTCTCGGAAATGCCCCATTTCCGCGCGCAGCGCTCTAGCCGCGCCAGAGCTCCCAGTTGCTCCTGGGCGCTCTCGTTCGCTTCCAGGAGCTCCCAGGCGTCCGCAGGCGCTCCCATGCGCTGCCAAGCGCTTCCCAGGCGCCCCCAGGCGCTCCTCCCAGGCGTTCCCCCGCGCTCCCTGCGACGCCCCCCTGCCCTTCCTGTGGCGCCCGCCCCTGGGCGCTTTCCAAGCGCCCCCAAGCGCTTCCCAGGCGGTCCGAGACGTTTCACAGCGCTCTCCGGCGCTAGGCCGTGCTCGGGCCGGGTCGGATATGTCAGATCCACGCGCGGCGTTTGAAAAAAGGCAATGCCCTGACATGTCTTGTCTTTGGAAATGCACCAAAGCGTGGGACCCGAGACATCCACGAATCTCCTGCGCGCAGGACGCGCCATCCTCGAACGCACAAAATTCAACGCTCAATTTTCTTAATACACTTGCAGGAGGGTCTCCGAGACTCGTAATTGAGCTAGTTGGGATTATGAGCAAACCGTTCCGTTTTTTGTACGAATGACAGCGGGGGTCTGCGGACCCCGTTAGGCAACGAGGATCCAGCATTCGGAACGAATCTTCCTCGAGCGGGCTCTCGCGAAAGGTAGTTTTCCACGCCGAATGCGACTTGATTCACCGGTCCTCTTCGAAGTTGACACCGTGCGAGCGGGTGCGCGTAGAAGCGCCTTCCGTGGTGGGCAACGAGCGCCGCGTGCGAGCGGCCCACGCAAACCCGATTCCCAAGACCGAGCAGACCGCATCACACCCCGTAAACGCTAATACAGTGTGTAAGCCCTGAACAATGAACCATCTCGCGAGCGGGCACGCAACATATCAATTATTGTTGTATGGAAGATGCCAGGATCTCCGACCTCGTTAATTAGTGAGGCTTCTGAGCAAACGCGCCACTGTTTCTTTTCGTTGGGCAACGAGGATGCGGGATGGGGAGCGTATTTTTCTCGAGCGGGTACGCGCGACACGTTTGCTTCCACGCCGAATGGGCCTTTCTTCCCAACCATACTGTGGTCTTGGGTCCTCGTTTTGAAGAGACATCGCCCCGCGTCTCACTCCTTCCTCCCGCTGCCCTCTCCCTCCCCCTCCTCTCCTTCCTCATTTTTGCACACCCCTCACACGTTTCGTGGCCCCATAGGGAGCTCCACCGAAGGCCCCAGTGGCTGTGCTCGCATGGCAGCGCCGCGCCCATTCCAGCACACCGCTCAAGCGTTTCGTGGCCCCATAGGGAGATCCACCGAGAGAGGCTGCGCTCGCATGGCAGCGCCGTTCCCATGTCTGAACACTCCTCACAAGTTTCGTGGCACCATATTGAGTTCCCCCGAAGGTTCCACTGGCTGCGCTCGCACGGCGCCGACGCAGGCATTTCGGCACACCCCTCACACGCTGCGTGGCTCCGCAGGGAGTTCCCCGAGGGCCCCAGTGGCTGCGCTCGCATGGCAGCGTCGCGCCGATTTCGGCACACCCCTCACATGTTGCGTGGCCCCACAGGGAGCTTAACCGAGGGCCCCAGTGGCTCCGCTCGTATGACACCACCGCGCTAAATTTTTTTCTGTTTTTTTTTTTTTTTTTTTTTTTATTTTTTTTTTTTTTTTTTTTTTTTAGTTTTTTTTTTTTTTTTTTTTTTTTTTTTTATTTTTTATTTTTTTTTTTTTTTTTTATTTTTTTTATTGTTTTTTTTTTTGTTTTTTATAATTTTTTTTTTTTTTTTTTTTTTTTTTTTTTTTATTTTTCTTTTTTTATTTTTTTTTTTTTTGTCTTTTAATTTATCTTTTATTTTTTTTTTTTTTTTTTTATTTTGTCTATTTTTTTTTTTTTAATTTCGGCACCCCTCACGCTTCGTGGCCCCATAGGGAGCTCCACCGAGCATCCCAGTGGCTGCGCTCGCATGGCACCGACGCGCCCATGTCGGCACACCCCTCACGCGCTTCGTGGCCCCATAGGGAGCTGCACCGAGGGCCCCAGAGGTTCTCGCATGGCGTTACCGCACCCATTTCGGCACACCTCTCACACGCGCCGGTACGTCCCTCACACGTTGCGTGGCCCCATAGGGAGCTCCACCGAAGACAATATTCCGAATTGCGTTACTCACCGCTGCATATGGTTGGGTCTTTCGCCAGGCTGATGTTGTTTTGATTGAAGGACCTAGTTCCCTGACCGAGAGAACCGCAGCACACCCGGCAGACATAAACTAACACGTAGTGTACACTGACGACCCGTGCCCCCATCAGGAGAATGCACCAATGGGAAGGTCCACATGCGTCTCCCTGCCCCATTTCGGGTGTTGCCTTGATGTGCCCCTGGCCCAAGGTGCCACCAGCTTTCCGCTTCATTTTGGGGTCCTTGGAGCCCTCTTGGCTTCGTGAGGGTTGCTCTGGAGGCCGTTTGGGCCTCCAGGGGCATCTCTAGCAACACCAGACCATTCAACACCCCACCACCATTACGGCGCAACCCTCACGCGGTTCGTTGCGTCATGAGGCCCGTAGGGAGGGAATTCCACCAGAAGCGGTAACCACAATTCGGTGCTCACAAGATGTTTGGGTAGTTCGCCAAGATGATGTTTTATTTTCATTGGCCGCGACCGCTGATTGCAACCATTGGTCCTTGCCTTCCCTTGCCGGTTAGCCCCGACCAGCCTTCTTTTCCTTGCAGTGTCGGCATTGCTGTCTGCCGCCAACGCAGATTACCGCCGCTAGCCCGCATCAGCCCGTGCCTACCCCCAGAACGCTGTCTGGGTCCACGCGTTGGTACAATTTGTCCCAACCATCCTGTGGTGCTACGTCTTCGTTTTGAAGAGACAGCGCCCCGCGCGCGTTCTCCTTCCTCCTCCTCTTCTCGGGGGAGCGTAAGACCCGGGTTTGCCGGGACTCGGGTTCGCCATCGTTTTTTGACGACCGCGACTCGGATTTTGACGAGGAGGAGTTTTGTGAGACGTCTGCAGCGGGAGGCCTCGTCAAAATGCAGGCTCGGCCTCGTCATTTTTTTGACGACCTCGTCGGGGATTTCCGAGTCCCCCGTACCCGGGTCTTACGTCTCCCCGATCTTCCTCCTCCTCCCGCTCGTCCTCCCATCCTTGCCTCTGCCCTCCGCATGTTTGTGTCTCGTCACACCCAGTGCAACGCTTCGTGGCCCCGTGCGGAGCTCCACCGAAAGCCCCAGTGGCAGGGTCCACGTGGCGGTACCGCCCCATTTTGGCACACCCCTCACACGGGTTGTAGCCCCATAGGGAGCTCCACCGAAGGCCCCAGTGGCAGGGTCCACATGGCGGTGCCGCCCCATTTTGGCGCACCTTTCACACGGTTCGTGGCCCCACAGGGAGGTCCACCGAAAGCCCCAGCGGCAGGGTCCACATGGCGGCGCCGCCCGATGTTGGCGCACCTCTGTCACACGGTTCGTAGCCCAAGGAGGAGCTCCACCGAAAATCACACTAAGGGTTCACATGGCGGCGCCGCTCCATGTTAGCGCACCCCCCACACGGTTCGTGGCCCCGCAGAGAGATCAGCCGAAGGCCCCAGTGGCAGGGTACATATGGCGGCGCCGCCTCAGTTTGGCGCACCCTTCACACGGTTCGTGGCCCCATAGGGCGCTCCACGAAGGCCCCAGTAGCAGGGTCAACATGGCGGTGCCGCCCCATTTGTGTGCGCCCCGCACACGGTTCGTGGCCCCATAGGGAGTTTCACCGAAGACCAACAGCAGCGTGGTTCGCATGACGGTGCCGGAACATTTTGGCGCACCTCTTACAGTGTTCGTGGCCCCTTCTGAGTTCCACCGGATGCGGTGCCACACCCACCACAGTATTCTCAATTGCATATGGTTGGGTCTTTCGCCATGATATTATTGTCATGCCAGATGTCTCCTAATTCGTCGATTCCATTGCGAGCTAAAGGATTACTCACGTAGTCCGCATTTTTTTCTGTGCCCGTTTTGGGGTACTCTTGCGCATCGGATGCGCCCGTGATCTTCGAATTTAGTCTTTATACTTGCGCGGTACATTGCTTGCCTTGAGGGAGGGTGAAGTCGAGGGATTCGGCACCAAATCATGGGAACCCGGCATACCCTCTTAATTTTGTCTTTAGCGTCACATAGCGTCGATAGCGTCTTGATAGCGCCGATTTAGCGTCGGTTAGCGTCAAGGACCAAGGAGCGTCGATTGAGCGTCGATTAGCGTCGATTCGCAGGAGCCGACAAGATGGTATGTGAGGCTCCCATGAGTGGCCACCGAAGAGGGAGGGGGCCCTGAGATTGGATGCCCGAGATCGAAGGCCGAGGGAGGGGCGTGGGAGGCCCTCGTCGCCACCGCTGGAATCGCCTCGAAACGCTTGTCAGGTCACACCCCAGGAGAGGTCCGGGGAGAGCCGGTACCGGTACCTGTCGGTTTCCCCATTGGGGGCGCCCGAGGGAGCACCGTACCGCGCAGCGTGGTCGGTTACTGCCTGCTCGAATCATCCAGTGGGCGAGGCCGTTGGCGCTGCTGCAGTCGCGTACCTCCGCAAGCTGGACGGGTTCTCTCTTCTCCGACCCGCCCTGGGAGTTGCCATGAAGCACCAGTCCTTGCGTCCAGACAAAACTTGCTACGACCATCCTTATCTCATCAAAGCTTGTCACCGCGACAAGGGCGAGTCTTGCCGAACTTTCTCAATCGCTGGGTAGCCCAGCTAATTGTGCGCCAGCGCAGCCGCTTGATCACTGGCCTCATCCTACGTACCTCTCAGCACACACACACGGGCAGATGACTGCACTCAACCATGATCAATTCAATTCAAGTTCATGTAAAGAGAACGCGCGCATATATATATATATATATGCACATATACGTTGAACGCTCGCAGGCTATTGAAGCGCTCAATTGGCCAGGAATGTAGCACATATCCATTGCTGACATGCATCAAGGAGGCGCAAAGGTGGATGCGCACACGAACACTCGCATTCGTTTATCAATGACCCTATACGGTGGCACATGTGATCCAAAGCCGACTGTAATTCGGTCGGAGAGTTCGGTTGTGCCATTGAAGGTTCAGAGTCAGCGGCACGTGTCACGTGTCAAAAATATCCATGGAAAATTTAGTCCGCTGGACACGTTGGCGGAGCATCGAGTACATCGAGCTTTCGACACCGGCAGAACGGTGTCGGTGTTTGTATAGTCGCGATCTGCGTACGAAGGACCCCGTTGAGTGCTCTGCAAAGTTGCGCAGGGCTTCTTGTGTTGGATGCAGCAACGCCCTTCCGCCCGCAGTTGGCGCTTGATAGTTGGGATGCGGGGTCCGTGGGCACTCATGTGGCACTCGGATTGAGATACCATGTTTTCTTGAGCTTGTTCTGCAACCACAGGGGACATGTGGAGAGCATGGAAAAAGAGACTGGGTCACGCATTTATATGAAAGAAGCTACGAGGGAGGAGAGGGGCAAGGGATCGCGCAAGGAGAAGAACGCGGAGGTTGGGGAGGAAAGGGGGAGTGATGGCAATGAGGAGGAGGAGGAGGAGGAGGAGGAGGTGGAGGAAGAGGAGGAGAAGGAGGTTCGTATAAAGGACGAGGAGGACACGGGTAAGTACAAGTGTGACGAAGACGTGGTGTAGTAGGAGGAGAAGTTGGTGGACGAGGGCTCGGTCGAGGAAGGCGATGAGAGCAGGGCTGAGGCGTGCCAGACAGCACGGCGGGCTTCGCTGGAGACCCGATCAGGAGAGACGAATCCTCATGCAGCTCGAGCGACCCCTGGGCCCGACTGCGCCTGGTAGCGGCCCTTGTGCGCGTTACACTCTCCGCGCGGCGCCGGGACGAGCCATGGAGGAAGCCGAGCGTTTGCAGCGCCGAGCTTGTGAATCCTTGCTGGACGAGGACACGTTATGATGCCAAAGTCGAGTCGGCATGGAGTGAAGGGACATATGAAATGTATCACATCTTGTTGCGAGCAGGGCACATCGGCCACGCTCGCCATTTTATGATAGTGAATGTTTGCGCGCAAGATGGGGTCGCCACCCTCGCGAACATGAGCGCGTTTCCGAAGAGCATGTCTGGGTGGGAGTGTGAACGTCGTCATGTAGTGCTTGAGCAGCTCAGCATATGTGTATTCGTCACCCACTCTCAGCGATGGCATCAAACACAAAGCGTCCTGCAGCAACCCCCGTCACAGTGCCAGCGCAGCATACACAAGCACAGTCAAGTTGCATCATAACGAAAGCTAAGTTTCCAGAATTTCCCTTACGCCCTTGTCTCTCGGACCTTCCATGGGTCATTGGCTTCCGACTTCGGCTCCCAGTTTAGCGTTAAATGGTTTTGCATCTTTACCGCGCGTCCTTGTACTCTAGTCGCAGTGTACGCAGAGTGATTCAACTGAACTCTCCCGAAGGGGGGGTGGCAAAACAGTTGATATGAAGGGTCCCTGGCGGGCCCCCATGATGCTCTTGCGCCATCCTCGGAAAAAACGATTATTATCTTTGGCCAGCCTGGCCGTCCAGGATGCAGCGTTGCAATGTTGCAGTGTCGCGTGGCCATAACGCTCAAGGTAGAACTTCTAGAACCAACACACATACACACATCATATTGGTTTGATTGCTTGGATCGCCTCTGCACCGCCCTGGCGGCGCCTCTGGCGCCGCCGAGGGGGGGGTCCAGCGCCGATCCGAGAACTCCGCACGGACCTGTGAAGTTTTATTATGTAGTTGTTGTTTCGCCTAGACGGTCCACGATAGTCGCGAATCCTTCGTTTTTGATGCAAATCCCGGAGGCCCTTTGGAGCCCTCCTGCGAGCCTTTTGGGGTTTTCTCGGATGGTGGGCTTTTCGGGTCCTCCGACAGGACTGGTTGAATCACTCGGGGCCGTTAGGGAGTTTCATTGATTCTGTTGATGCGTCGCGCGATATGAGGATCGTATTCTGCCTCGGGAGATGTTTTGGCGGGAGATCTGGTTGAGGGAACATCGGGTTACCGATGCATGAATACATTCCCCCACGGAGGGGGAGCTTTACTGATGGATGCATGTTGCATTTGTTCGGACAGATAGAGAGCTACACTTTGGGCGAGTGGATTAGTTTCTCTCGCGGATCCCGAAATTTCAAAATTAATTTTGGGCTATCGTTCCAAAGTTTGTTTTGCCCGCCATTCGAGGGGGGTCATCGCGTTTGTCGGATTTGCGAGGGCCTCGACGTCGCTAGCCAGAGTCGGCGTGGAATCAGAAATAACAACTCGCGATTAGGAGGCGGAGGCGGAGCGCGCATATCTTTTAAAATCCTCGAAACATCGTCACCAGGCGAGTTGCCCTGATCACGGGGGGGGCAAATAGGATGGAGGGATCCAGAACAAGGTCAGAGGTCGTAGCGACCACCAGCGCTCGTGGGACCCATGATGGGCTACAAGAGGAACCCCCAGTGCCCCCAAAACGCCCCACGGGGGCCTCAGACGCCACGACCTCCAGATCGAGACCAGATGTCGTGGCGAGCAGGTGCGCTCCTGGGACCTCCCGAGCGCCCCAGGAAGAATCCAAGACCCCGCCAAGCGCTCCGGGAGACCCCCAAGACGCTACGACCTCAGATTGCAGCTGGAGGTCGGGGAGCGCTCTTGGGGCCCCCAGGGACCTCGTTGCGTGCCCTTGGCCGCAGTTGGGTCCCTTTCGGGCATCCCTGGGACGTCCAGCCTCCGCCGCCCTGAGGGCGGCTGGGATTTCAGTGGCCCCTGCCCTCCTGACTCTGCGGGGAGGCGCGGCGACGCCCCCGACCTGTACCCTGCCACTTTCGCTAGGTGCCGGTCTATACGTGCTCGCCCCGCTCGAGACATCCAGCGCGTTCAGAACTACCCTTAGCCAGGCGCTAGGTGTAGTTCTGTACGTGCTGGTTTCGCCAGGGACATCCTCACAAAACAGAACACTCATAGAACTACACCTAGCCAGCGGGGCGGGGTACATGTCGGGGGCGCGACTCGCGCTCCCGACGTGTACCGTGCCCCGGCCGCTAAGTGTAGTTCTGTACGTGTCCCCTTTTGGCGAAGCATCGGCTGCCCGTGCTGCCCATCTCCGAGGCCCCGTCCCCAGGGCCGCTCCCCGCCGACTTCCCACTTCCTCAGGCTCAGCGAAACCACCTGCATGGCCGCTGTCCTTTTCCGCCTCGCACTGCCCGCTGCCCTTCCCCGCCTCTGCCCCAGTATGATGACCCCCGTGTTTTCTGTGCTTTGGGGCGCCGCTTTGCCTCAGGCGTGATCTCCTCCCTTGTCTCGTGTCTCCGTGCCTTAGCAGCCTCTTTCATTATGTCCTTCCACTTCCACCTCATCCCCGTGTCTCGCCAAGCTTCGTAGCCGCGATCGGTTCTATGCGTGCCGTAAGTAAATGCCTGGCCAGACGCCCCACGCCTTCGATTTTTTTTTCCGTGCTGGATCCCCCCTCCACGGATGAAGCGGCAGTTCGCGTTATCATTTCCTGTTGCAGCAGCCGTTTAGCCCCGCCGTGAAACATGCTGATCGTTGCAACGCTTGGCGCCCCACGTGTTTCGCATGACCAGCGCTCCCCGTCGTAGGTCGCGAGGCGGCGCCCGTCCACCCAGACCGACCAGCGCGCCTAATCGAATTTTGATTGCCCCCCCTGGTCCCCGCAACTGGGTGGAGTTTTGCTAAGTGCAGTTTTTGATGTGTTCGATTTGTAAGCAACGAACCGGTTGGTTGAGTATTCAACGTTTTTGTTGTTGTCGAGTCCTCATCTGTTATGGGAAATTCTACTTCACCTCCCCCTTCTGGCGCCCACTGCATGAGGCTTTGCATGAGAGAGCTCATTGCGCCTCATCCGTAGCTCCACCAAACATTTCCTTGGGAACTCGCAACGAGAAGTATATGTTTGTATAACTGTATGTACACCCGCCGGCGAGATGTGTTGCTGCGCGCGCA